GGGGAACTGTGTCGAATGCTTTTCAAAAATCCAGGTAGACAATATCCACAGCCTTTCCCTCATCCAATAGTCAGGTCATCTTGTCATAGAAGGAGATCAGGTTTGCCAGGCAGGACATGCCTTTCATACCCCCATGCTGACTAGGCCTGATCCCCTGGATGTCCATTATATGACTTGTAATGGCACTCGAGATGACCTGCTCCATGACCTTCCCTGGCATCAAGGTCAGACTGACAGGTCTATAGTTTTCTCGATCCTCCTTTCTGCCTCTCTTGTAGATGGGTGACACATCTGCCACTCTCCAGTCCAATGGGACCTCCCCAGTCAGCCATGACTTCAGGTAAATCATGGACAGCGGCTTGGCGAGCACATCTGCCAACTCTTTCAGCACCCTTGGCTGTCACCCATCCGGTCCACAGACTTGTGTGCATCCAAGCAGTGTAACAGGTCTCTGACCACTTCAGCTGTGCTGACCTCAGTCTGCTTCCCCTCCCCATCTCCCAGCTCCTGAGGCTGGGTGTGCAGGGAACAGCCAGTTCCGCTGCTAAAGACTGAGGCAAAGTAGGTGTTGAGCACCTCAGCCTTTTCCTCATCCTTAGTTACCATGTTTCCCTCTGCATTCCATAAAGGAGGGAGATTTTCCCTAAAGCTCCTTTTGTTGTTAATGAATTTATAGAAACATTTTTTGTTATCTTTAACAGCTGTAGCCAAATTAAGCTCTAGCTGTACTTTGGCTCTCCTGATGTTCTCCCTGCATAACTTCACTACACCTTTATAGTCTTCATGAGAGACCTGCCCCCTCTTCCACAGGTCATAGATTCTCCTTTTGTTCTTGGGATCCAGCCAAAGGTCCCTGTTTAGCTAGGCCATCTCCTTCCCCACCTGCTTGTTTTCCAGCACCCGGGAACAGCCTGCTCCTGTGCCTTTAAGACTTCTCTCCTGAAGTATGTCCAGCCTTCCTGGGCTCCCATATCCTTCAGGGCAGCCTCCCAAGAGATTTTGTCAATCAGTCTTCTGAACAGGTCGAAGTTTGCTCTCTGGAAGTCCAAGGTGGCAGTTTTACTAACCCTTCTCTTTGTTTCTCCAAGGATGGAAAACTCAACCATCTCACCATCACTGCACCCTGGACAGCCTCCAACCTTTACCTCCCCCACAAGCTCTTCCCTGTTCACAAGCAGCAGGTCCAGGAGGCACCTTCCCTGCTCGGCTCACTCACCAGCTGTGTGAGGAAGTTATCCTCCACACACTCCAGGAACCTCCTGGACTGTTCCCTCTCTGCTGTGCTTGACCCCAGCAGATACCCAGGAGATTAAAGTCCCACACAAGAACAAGAGCAAGTGACTGCGAGATTTCTCCCAACTGTTTACTGAAAGCTTCATCCACCTCACTGCTGTGGCTGGGGGGTCTATAGCAGACTCCACAGCAAGATCCGCTTTACTGGCCCTTAACCTACTCCACACACTCTCAACCCCGTTATCACTGCACTTGATTTCTGAGCTCTCATAGCATTCTCTAACACACAGGGCCACTCCACTGCCTCTCCTTCCCTGTCTGTCCCTCCTGAAGAGCTTGTAGCCATCGATTGCAGCACTCCAGTCGTGTGAGGCATCCCACCACGTTTCTGTGATAGCTACTATGTCATAGTTCTCATGCTGCATCATGGCCTGAGGCTCCCGCTGTTTGTTGCTCATACTGTGTGCATTGGTATAGATGCACTTGAGATGAGCTAATGAATCCAACACCTTTTTGTGAGTGTGGGCCCCATTTCCTACCAGACCATTCTTAGGTGCTTCCATGATTTCTAAACATCTATCCCTTCTCTCAAGTCAAATGGCAGAGGGAGAGCCCTCACTATTCCACTATCCTTCAAGCATTGGCATGCTTCCCTTGAGCTTATTCCTAACAGACCCAGTTATCTCCCTCTCTCCCCTCACATCTAGTTTAAAGCTTCAGAAATACTGAGTATTTATGCAGGAATGTGTAAAACACTAATATAACAAAACCCAGCACATATTATCCACACAATATTTTCAGTGTAGTCATTCACTTGCACATTGGGAAACGATTCCAAAAGATACAGGCTGCAGACCCACAGTTCCCTGGATCAGCACAAAAGGGGTTATGTGAACTAATAAAGTAACATCATGTTTTCCTACCAGCCTTATCCATACAGGTTATTTGACCTGCTGTCGGAACTAACAGCACTGAAGGCCCCTAACTAATGGTTAACCATCTCCTATGTACACAGAGCTTGCCTGAAATGCTCAGGACCAGCTCTTTGGCTGGGACCAATATTAACTTACTTGAAGCTTATGATAAAGGGGGCACATGTACCCTTACTGTAGCTCCTCACAAATCCCTGGGCAGAAGCAATCACTTTCTGGCAGATTCTGTCAACAACAAACAGCAGCGCTTTCCAGAGTGTCACACCAATCTCACTTCCATAGGGCAGTTAGGCAACAGCAGCATCCGAGCAATTTACATTGTCCCCATTCCTATGTGTGCCTTGCTGGTGAGGCTGCAGGGAGAACGAAGGAAGAAACAAGATATCACAGTGAGAAATGTTTACCAACTGCTTTACAGTTCCCTAGGTTGTTAGGTCTTGCAGTTACAGGGATGATTTCTGATCTTAAACAAAGGGCACAGAGTGTGAAAATTGATCAATATTTCTTTACCAGCATCCCCATTTTGAAAGTTACCTCCAGTTTAATGTTGGGAATCTGATACCCAGAAGAGCTCTCTAGGAGAATTATACTGACACTGCATTTAGTAAAAAAAGCAGTGTGATGTTCCTGTGTTTACTTATGTCTGTTTATTTTTTCTGCCTTCGATCTATGGAAAGGGGAAAACCAACAAACTAGATGCTAAACGACAGCTTTTCAGCATCTGAATATTGTAACTTAAAGTGATACTATTGTTAGACCAAAAAGAAAATTATTTTGTTCCTAATAAAGTAACAAAAGCCAGCAAACAAATATAACTCAGCTGTTCTTTTTAAACTCAAAATACTAACCCTGTTATACTGCTATAGGACTCAAATGAAAGCAAGAGGAGTTGTTTGGATTGTATTTTCCACAAGCAAACATTTTCATATGTTGATAAAAAAAATACATGTTTTGTGAATACATGAAAAAATGACATCTCTTTCTTTTTGTGTGAAGCATTTTACAATCCTAATTCAGAATAGCATCTGTTGTCACAACAGTGCTTGAACACATGTGATAGGTTTTAAACAGGTATCTGAACCTCAACATATGTTTAATTCAGAAGTTCTTGTGAATCACAGTATAATAGTGAAAGTAATCTGTCTCTTCATATTATTGTTATTTAAGATATGAAAAACAAAATATCTTCCTGGATGTTGTGATTTTTATCATAATGTTCTTTCTGTTAAATATTAAAGAAAAACACTTACAAGTGTTAGCATATAAATTTTTCTAGTGCTGATTTAGCTGAATTACATCACAGACTCACTATTCCAAAAGACATGGTACTTCAGTACAAGTCTGGAACAAGCATAGCTTCATCTAATTCAGTTTAAATTAATAACACACATAAAGCACACCACAAAACAACACAAAGCTAAAGGAGTTAGCCTACATCTACAAGAAAATGGTTGAGTTTACATCAATTGGAGTCAACAGCTGTACCAGGATTGGTAATGCCTTATCCACTAAGATTGATGCAGCCCAGCAGAGCACTCTCTGAGAGCATTCCCTGCAGAAACAGCTGTTTCACATCTCCAGCCATGCACTTCTGTCCTCTTGTTGAAGATCAGTGTCCCCACAGGAGATATGAAAGAGCATGTCCTCAGAACACTCTCCATCTGCTGAATTCAGTACCAAGCAGGTTGACTTAATTCAGACAGCTCTCTTTGTAAATTAACACAGCTTTTGTACCAAATTGGGTGAGGGGTGTTCTAGCTTCTGAACCATTAGTTTAGATGGGGCAAAGTTGACAAGTGTCAGACACAGGGAGTTACAAACAAGAGATGACAATGTCTTTAGCCCGTACAGCCATTTCTTCAGTCAACGTCTGATCCATATGTCTGATGTGATCATATATCTAGCCAAGGTGCAATTTGTACTAGCTTGATTTGCACCGGCATAGTGAAAGCATCTCTCTTCCACATACCACCCACCCCCCACCAAAACAAAGCTGTATTGCTGCAGTTTCCTGTTGCAACTTAGGTAAAGGTCATGTGCAGTCAGGGTTGGGTTCAGCAGAGCAATTTCAGAAAAGACTACCCAGAGCTCTGCTTTTTTACCACTGTGCAGATCTTTTTGCTGATGCTGTCAAGCCATAGTGAAGTTGTGTGTTGTCCTAGCCCATCTCAGCACATGTGGTAAATTAAATCTAGGTGTCTGCTGATATTGCATGGATGAAGACTAGGAATACTCACTAATATAATTTTACTAATAGTAAAAAAGTTTCAAAATATATTTCAGGAATTTATTAACAGTTTTTGTGAGGCAGTAAACCTCTGTCACAAACCTTATACTACTTTCTCCACCTTTGGTAGAAATCAAGAACCTTATACTGCTTTCTGTAGCACTTTTTGAAGGCTCTAAAGGTTATCTGTGCAGCAAAATGGTACAATTTCATAAAATAGAGCCCCCTGTGGAAAACTCTGGTAGAAACAAGTCATGTCGGTAGAGTTGAGGCTTTTTAACATTCGTTATATACCTGTTGCAGTTCTGCAGAACAGTAGCTTCTTCCCCACTCAGTATGTGGTGGTACAAGGTCTTTTATGTTAAGAAAGAAATTGGAATTGAGATCTTCCAGGTTTGGGCTTTTCTATGGTCGTGGGCCCTTAAATTTCCCCCAGCAGTAGGTGCCCCCACTTTGCTCCACCCTCCAGCAGTGCATGTAAATCAGGGGCAGGCCGGTGAGTTCTAACTTCCAGAGAATGGTCTCTGCCTACCAGGACCGTAGTGAGGGCTTAGCAAGAGGTACAACAGGGAACTATGTCTTTTCGACGTTGTTATAAACTGGCCAGAAAGAGAAAAGTTGCATCTGTTCTCCTTTCTTCTCTTGTTGCTGTGTATGGTGTGAAGACTGCTGCACGCAACAGCCTTCAGTGAGGGGCTTCGGATCTCTTCCTTCTGCTCAAGTCTTCCTGGAGGATCTCACTGGTGTTTCGGGCTGCAGGAAAATGTACTGGGGAAATCACGTTAGGTAAGGCTGCCTGAGCTGCCACGGACCTACTCTAGCCAAGGATGCTTTTCTTTTTAGCAGTGCCTTTTTTGGTTGATAATCAGGCTAGGAAGCAGAAAGGAACAAATGTACCTGGAACTACGGGTGAAGCGAAGGTTGTTTTCTTATTGCTTTTGCTGCTTTTGTAACTGCTGGTAACAACCTTGTGGTAAAGAAAGAGACGGTTTTGACTGGTTGTCAGCCAGTAAATATGTAGAACCCGTAGCTTTCTGGATGCAAACCTAATCTGAATGTTCCTGTTCTTCGTCGCCCCCTCACCCCCCACCCCAGTTTTCAAGATTAATTTGAGATTATTGATGTGTTAATTCGAGTTACTGCTGGTATAAAATATTTATCGTTTATATTATAAAGTGGTTGATAAAGCTTTGGAAAAGTTCCTTCCCTCCCCACTCCCGCATCTTCGTTTTGGTGTTTGTGTATTACTAGCACAAATTAGTTTCAGCTTCTTGTTTTTTTTGTAGAATTCTTTTCACTGTGACTCTAGTGTGGCAGGCTGCTCGTCTAGAAAAAGGTATGGAAAATTTCGTGTTTCTCCCCACCGTCCTGTGTTGCTTTTGTCCATTTACAGTATGCATTCCTTCATTACAAGCTACCCTTCTCTTCCATATTTGCACTTCTTGTTAAGGCCGTGAAAAAGCGTATGAAGATGTGAAAAGTTTCAACGCCACAGCACAAAAGCAGCAGCCCGAGAACGAAGGGACAATTATAAATGCTCTCAGTGACATGAATCAGAGTTACGAAAGCAGAAAGCAACAGAATTCCAGGGCATTGGTACCTTTCACTGGGATTACAGAGAGTGGGTAACATTATTTAAACAGTGCTATAAAATTTCTCTTTAAAATATATCAGAGTAATGCTTTGACTGTTGTCCTGTAAGATTCCAACTGTTTGGTTTTCTGTGGCCGTTTATTTAAATTATTCCCGTGATCGCTTTGGAAATGGTGATAAAAATTTAAGGCAGAACCGGAGATCTTTTAGATGCAAAAGGTAGATACAGAAAACAGGGAAAGACAGCAGGAATTAAGACGGCGTTGACCCCTTGGATTTGCAAAATGTTTGTAAAATTCTGTTCATTCTTAAAAAAAAATTAACTGTATTTCATGAATAAAAAATATTTCATTTTAAAAAAGTTTGAGGTTTTGTAAAGCAACAGCATTAACAGGAGAAAAAAACCCACACACAACAAGAAAAAAACTAAGCACAGACTTATGTTTCCTCCCACATATATTAACATATATTCTGGGAGTCTGAGAAAGGTTTGAATGAGAGTTCCCCTCACTTTTCAGAACTAAGCAACTCTTCCCAGTAACAAATCCTCCTTGCTTCAAAAATAAGCACCACTTCCCAGTGACAATGCTCTTCGTTGTTAGTGTGACTGAAACCTGCCTCCCATCAAAGTGAAATATTTCACTTGAATGTAATGCTACTGCTGTGGCACTTGCTAGGTTTTGCTTCTTGACCGTCCTGTAATCCCTAGTAGTTTGCCTCTAATCCTTAACTAAACAAACTGGGCTTAACTGAACAAACACTCCTAACAGGCAGATAATTTTATTGTCTCTAAAGACAATAAAGCTAGATTCTTAAAATCCTTTGGCGACTGGAGAGAACAAGTGAGGAAAAGGGGAAGTTTGGAACCCTCGGGATGCGTTGTAACCTCTGTTATTATTGTCTTGCAGGTAAAAAACTGAACAGACATTGCTGCCAAAATGGAGGGACCTGTATCCTAGGGGCTTTCTGTGCTTGTCTAAAGCATTTCACTGGCAGATACTGTGAACATGATGAGCGGCAAAGGTAAAAGAGCAAGCTGCTCTAGATAGTTATTTTCTGTGGTAGAATCGGGTACATACCAAATTTGTCCCTTGTCCTTGACAGCAACTGTGGCAGCATTGCCCACGGCGCCTGGGTGCTGCAGGGCTGTTGGCTGTGTCGGTGCGGCTATGGTACTCTGAACTGTCTCTCAGAAGTAATGCACGATAACTGCGGTAAGGAATGGTGTTAAATTCAACCATTTTTATCTTGTGGGTGACAATTGCCTTCTGCAAAAGTGGGGTACTGGGAGGATGCTGTATGTGCGTGCTCTGTTTAGACCTCTGCAGTGGCCTGCTTTGCTTCAGAGGATGCATTAATGAGACAGTAAATACTGCTGTTGCCTGTAAATAATGACTGTGTTGTCTGTCACAAAAAAATACTTTGCGATTTTTATAATCCTGTGCAGTAGGACATTTCAACCCATTTTAATTGAAAATTACAGGGATTAAATGCTTATCTATTCTGCAAAACCTGCACATGTCTATGACTTCCCACATAACCAGGACAATTTGTACAAGCAACCTACATCCAAGCATACAAAAATATTCCTTAGATGAGGAAAGAGGAAGAAAATGTGGTGTAAACTGGTGTTATAGAAATATAAAGGAGTATTACACTAGAGAAACAAGTACTGAGAACTTGCATAAGCTATTTAACATGTAAATGGGAGAAAACTAATCTGAACCTTACTTAAAGTTCTGCATCTTAAACTTCGAAATATTCTTGTACAGAGTTCTAAAACTCAGCACTGTCCACAAAAATTGTGTAGCCATAGTCGTGATCAATTGTGGAGAAGTAGAATCCAGTGTCCTCAAAAGCACTTTATTTGTTTAAGTCGTCTATATATGTCAGATGGTGAATATCTCTCTATAAAGGTTTGAGTATATTTTGAATCAACTAGCATAAAAACTTGAAGGATTGCTTTAAGGGTACTTATTTTCCATGGAGAACTGGCTACTGAGATCTTGACTATTTTCAATACTCTGAGATGATTAATAAGAGTTTAATGTTATTTTCTCTCCAGTGGCAAAATTAGTGCAAAATATTCTTGCTCTTCTCCATACATGATGTCTCAATTCCATGCTGTGCTTTAATATACTTTACTTCAGTTGTGCCATCATCACTTGTTAGCAGGGTAAGAAAACAGATCTAAATAGCTTCAAGATTAGTTTGCACCCGAAGGAACTCTCAGTGTCTTCTCTCCTGATCAGATTCTTATCTGAGTAGCAGTGCACGAAAGCTGTGACTCTGGAGTTATACCATCAACTCAGAAGTAAAGACAGATTTCAAAATGTGGGCCTCTTGGGTCACCGGGGTATGCCCTACTGTGTGATAAAGCCACTAGTCCAAAAAAAGTGAAATGCAAGAGAAAGGTGACATTCCTGTCTTTGCACCACAGACCGAAAAAAACCCCAACCCACCAACAAAAAAACCCCACCAAACAAACCCACAAAGCCTACCAGAACCAAAAAGCTGCCACCAAAACCACTTTTGTGTTGATAAAGTGTGGCACCCAGCTTGTTTTTTTTAAATCTTGAGAAGAGTTAAATGCTCAAGTTCCCTTGGGTGTTCACCTTTGATCAACCCTATTGTTTCCTGTTACAGGAACAAAACATGTGTCAGGCCTCCCCATGCTCAGTAAAAAGTGTCTACTACTTCCTACTCTTGACTAAGCTTAACAGAGGCAATAAAGGTGACAGTGGAGAATCATCTGCTCATCCTCTGAGCAGGGACTCAGCTTTCATATGCTTTAGAGTATGACTTTCTGCTTGTGATAATAAATGAAGCCCCTTCTTGTTAAAGGAAGGGTTAAAAGGCTACATGCTGTTTTGAGTGCATACCTCCTGTGAAGATCTTGATCTTGCTTTTGCTTGGTATTTACTTTTGCTTATTCTGAGATTAATGCCTGCAAGAGCTGATAAGTGCTATCAGTTCCTCCTCAAACGATCACTGATGGAACATCTATTCACATCTCTCCCTTGAGAATAGCCTCTTTGATTGGCTTTAACAGCTGATACCTTTAACTTAAGTACCTGTGAGATGTCCGAGGAGGTTTGAAGTATGTTGAAAATCCTTATGTGTTAAAATTTACATATTTTATTCATTAACCATTTTCTGGATTTTAAAAAAATTTTTTTGTTGTTGTTTTTGTTGTTGTTTAGAATTGAAATCGGGAAAGGAGGCAATTACCAGACTATATTCTAATGGTATACGATTACAGCAAACCGTGTTTGTATTTGTTTGCCTGTTCACCATCCTCATGGAGCTCTGCTGCTGGCAGTTGTGAAACTGGACTAAGGGAAATATTTTAGGATTGATGTAACCTCACGATGAGTCATGTAAGTGTTCTGTGAGCTACAGAAGACACTTATACCTACATATTGGAGGCAGATTAATGTGTATTAGTTAATGCTGAAATGCTTGGATTATTATAAATTCAGATTCTATGAATGTGAAGTATTTATTATATTATTATTTTATAACTACTATCAATGTCTGATTCTAACAGTTCTTTAGTTCTAAAATACTTTTCTTCCAGTGGAAGCAAAAACCCCCCAACGTTCTATGTCTTAAGTGTTGTAAATTATCATAATTTCCTTTGTACACAGTACAACTATGTTAACAAATAAAGCGGATTTCATTTCAGAAGAGCTTTTATATTTGGCTTTATTTAAACCTGACAATTCTTATTTACCATTTGTCGTTGTACCCTGTAACAAAACAGTAGAAAAGGGCAGGGTACAACAAACAATCTGAAATTTGAAGAGATAAGGAGAGTTTTAAGGGTAAGTGTATTTCAAACCCTGATATAGGAAAGAACTCTAAAAATTAGTCTTTAATTTTTTAATTACTATTTCCTATAGCTAAATTGTATGTATGCATAGTCTTAGGCAGGAAGCATATGTTTCTTAAGAACATATAGCTGATACTTGTCTTCTAGGGGTTTATTTTGTATCACATCCTAGAAGTATGAGTTCGTCTTCTTTTTAAAATGACAGCAAAGAGCAACCTCTAAACTTTTTCTGTAGGAAGCCTGGCTTGATTTATATACCATTTAATTAAAAAAAAAAAAAAAAAAAAAAGGCAATGAGAAGCCTAAAATGTACCTTAATTCTTTGAATGTGGAGCTACCATGTAGAAACAATCACATTTATCATTGGCATAAAAGACATTACTGAAGTATAAAATCCTTAATGACTTAAAGTTCAATATATTTAATTCTTAAAGTTTCTTTATTAGTTTCTTTCCCACAAACCAAGACAACAATCCAGTCAGTAAGGAGAGAAGAATTCATCACCAACAAATGATAACAGTATTGTGGCTACCGATTGACTCTATGACTATTCAGTAACAGACTTCTAATAGGGAGTCATTGTGTAAAAACATTCATGTTAAATGCTACAAAGGGTTTAAACTTCTCTCATTTCCACACCCTATACTTTAGTGGAAAGAGTAAGGTTTATCAGTCTTCATATAAAATACACTAAACCAAAATCAGTCTTCATTATTTCCCACAAACTTGTCTGTACCTATATGCCTGTGTTTCCACAGACTTTGAAAAGGAGGTACCAGCTTAGGACAATTAAATATCAAAGAGAACAGCTAGAGGAAAATAGTCATGCTTTTATTTATCAGATGTTGAAGATGCAGGAATGCCATTGTGAAATATCTTGGTTTGCCATAAAGCATACCTGAGAAATCTGTAGGCAATACAGCTTGTAATGTGCTTCAAATAGGCTTTACTTTTTGAAGGAAAGCAGTAAGATAACTGGAAAGAACATAGTACAGTAAAAATATCTCAAGTAGTATTTTTTTATCCCTACAGAAAACATACAGAGCCATAAAAAGTTGCAATTAGCAAAAGGAAAGAATGGTCTAATACAGGTTTTATAACAGAAGAGCTATATACATCCACAGCAAATTTAATCAGGAAAAGCTGAGCTGGAATAACTCCTTATGTAGATGAGCCTACGTGCCTGCAAGAGTCACCATGATGGAGCTATATATTTTTGGTTCAGTATGACTTGGAGGATTAGTGCAGTTGAGAAGTCTAGCAAAGTAATATTTTCCTGCCACACCAAAACATCAGTCCAAGGCATCTAATTAAAAACAGCAAGGTACAGCTTCTACAGTTCCAAAGCATTTCATGGTAATGCAAGCTTGGTAAGTGATCCTAATTAATGTTAGTGTAAATCACTACTCACTCTGAATGCTAGGATTTGAAAATTTACTCCAGTCTACCTGGAAGAAGTGATGGAAGGTTTCTGTTTGTTTGGCTTTAGGGTAACAGTTCATTTTCTACCTTACACCATTACATTTTGTGTTACTGGAAAATCTGAAAATGATTGCTTCAGGACTGTTTAATACCTGCTATACTGTGGCAAAACATATCGTTAGTGATGGTTAGTTGTGGAAGATGTTTGTCTCATCTTTGTGTCAGGGCTCTGGAAGTTGCCATGAGTATTCAGAACAGAGCACAGAGTCTGTTCTTGACTACCTCTCAAGCAGAGGTAGCCACAGGAGTTGAGTTTGAGGAGAAACAGGTATCTCCTTAAGTTAAAGAAATTAAAAAAAAAAAAAAAAAAAAAAAAAAAAAGACAGCATTCAGAAGCTGTCCCATGTATAGTCTTAGTCACAAATAAAAATATAACTTAGAAGGAAGAAAACATCACTGATGAACAAAGGAAAGTGCACAGTCACAACCTTTGCTTAAGTTAAAACTGTCTCCACTTTTATCTGTCTCCAGCTGTGAGCAAGAACAGATAAAGGAAAGCATTATTTTCCTTCCCTGCTACCATGTAGGCCTGGCCAATCTTCTAATGCTGCAATTACAGGGCCTTTGGTAAGGTTTGTTTATAGCAAACAACAATGCTTGCTTTCCAGCCTCATGCTAACTGTTTATGGGCCACTCCATCAAACATGGCATGTCCCATCAAAATAGGCATCTGCTGTCACAAGTTCATGCGTGTACCCTCTCTATATACAGCCATGTTTGGGCAGGTTGAGTACCCTCAAACTGTAATATTTATCAAATGCTTTACAGCCCTCAGAGCTGTTAGACCTTTTGCTCCTCGCAGGTGACCCCAAAACTAAAATAGAGCAGGCTGTGACTGGCCTCCACATCTCACCCCTGCAATCCCTCCAGCCTCCACCAGTCCTTGAGGCATGCTGCTGACAAGGACACCAGACAGTGGCAACAGCGTGGCAGTAGCGACTGCCACCTCTGCAGCCAAAAGCCCCCAGAGCTGGAGCTCCACTGTCCATCACAGATCCACAGGGGGATGCTGCCATCTGCCCTTAATGTACTGCCCTGTTTAAAGGAAGAGATTCATTCTGCATAAAGGCCATCAAGTGCATCAAGGTTTTGTCATACAAACCTGAAAAACTAACTTGCAGGCACCAGTTGCTGAGAAAGTGTCACTCATTCAGCTCTCCGAGTATCTGATGGTTATCCCTCAAGGTGACTTTATTCCTAGCAAGGAGAGATTCATTCCTGCTGTACCTGAGAAGTGTTAATGGTGCCCATAGGTTCCAGTAGCCTTCTCTCACCTGTAAATGTGAAAATACATTTTTTTTCCAGCCAGCCAAAACAGAATCAGAAGTAATGTCCCATACTTGTTTATTCAGAGTTGGGTTTTCTTAATTGGCATATTTAAGACTGCTAAGGTCTACCCACATACATTTCGTTAGTGGTCTTTCGTTGACACTAATAGTGTATCAGCAGGCTGTATGTCTGGATCATTGCATCACCAGTTTCATGTGCCTGAGCAAGTATATAGCAACATTATATTCTGGCTTCCGTTTATTGGAAGGGTGATTCAGTACAGCAGGCTGACTCATGTACTGAGCAGCCCTGTGAACTGCAAGTTACAGGCACATGTCTTGTTGAGGCCTATCTAGTCACCCTGCAACCATTGCCTGTAATTCACTCACTGTCTCACCTTTTTACAGCACAGTCATGTATGAGCATGGGAGATATAATGACAACCAAGCAGCTGTAGACTTGCACCCTGCAAAATTACCCAAGCATCATGAGTACTCCTGTGATTGCAAAGCACGTTCTTGGTCAGAGAAGACATTAGACATTAAAACATGTAATTCCTTCCACATTTGCCTGATTGATCTTGCCCTTGGCTGATGCTGCTGTGAGTGTAATTTTTTGTTAAGGGCGTGAAGCTGCCATATGCTACTGGAACAAAACCAGATGTCTTATGCATGTTGAGCCTAGCATTTGTCTTCAGGTACATGCTGTCACAGCAATAGCTTTCATTAGCAGCTGTCTTCATCTACTGCAGCCCAACCACATCCTTACAAAACTACAATATATAAACCAGCTTGTGAGGCTTTAGTTCAGATACCATTTGTCTGGATGAAATGCTGGGAATGTACCATCAGGACAGAAGTGCTATAAAAAGCTCAAAAGCAAACATCCAAAAAAATATCAGCATTAGTCTCACTAGTTAGAGAAGGCACATTGTCCTGACTGAGCCTCATGGCAGCTGGCCCCAAGGACTCAGAAGATCTCTTTTTCTGCCAGCCGAGAGACTTTTCTGAGCTTCACATGTTTTCTGGGGCACACCTGGTTACCTTTCACTAGGCACAGAGACTTGTGAACAGAAATAGACATACAACCTCCCAACAGATTGGAAATTGGCCAATGTGACACCCATCTACAAGAAGGGTCATAAGGATGATCTGGGATATCACAGGCCTGTCAGCTTGACTTCAGTGCCTGGTAAGGTGATGGAGCAGCTCATCTTGCGTTGCTGGGTAAAAACCCGTCTGGATGGCTGGGCCCAGAGAGTTGTGGTGAACAGGTTAAATCCAGATGGCGGCCAGTCACGAGTGGTGTCCCCCAGGGCTCAGTTTTGGGGCCACTCCTGTTTAACATCTTTATTGATGATCTAGACGAGGGGATCGAGTGCACCCTCAGTCAGTTTGCAGATGACACCAAGTTGGGTGGGAGTGTTGATCTTGCTCGAGGGTAGGGAGGCTCTGCAGAGAGACCTGGACAGGCTGGAGCCATGGGCTGAGCCCAACTGGAGGAGTTTCCATAAGGCCAAATGCTGGGGGCTGCCCTTGGGCCACAACAACCCCCAGCAGCGCTACAGGCTTGTGAAGCACTGGCTGGAGAGCTGCCAGTCAGAGAGGGACCTGGGGGTGTTGACTGACAGCCGGCTGAACAGGAGCCAGCAGTGTGCCCAGGGGGCCAAGAAGGCCAATGGCATCCTGGCTTGTGTCAGCAATAGCGTGGCCAGCAGGGACAGGGAAGGGATCTGACCCCTGTACTCGGCACTGGGGAGGCAGCCCCTCGATTCCTGTGTTCAGTTTTGGGCCCCTCACTCCAAAAAGGACATTGAATGACTCGAGCGTGTCCAGAGAAGGGCAACGGAGCTGGTGCAGGGTCTGGAGCACAGGTCATATGGGGAGCAGCTGAGGGAACTGGGGGTGTTTAGTCT